GAAGAGCNGCACCATGAAGTCGAAGTGGAAGAAGAAGAGCTTACTGAAAGTGCACCATTAGCTGCAAAGTCTCGATTAGAGGCTATTTCTGAAGCAAGTATTCCAGATCCTAGTGCAAGTGACAAAGTGCAATCTTGACCCAACTCTGATTCAAACAAGGAAAAAGGCCTTGGTAGTTTATTTGCACATTCTGACAAGCCACCATATAAGCCAAATTTTCCATTTCCACAAAGGCAGCAACAACGTTCCAAGGATCAACAATGCATTGAATTCATGAAGACGTTGGCTAAGGTTCAAATTAATTTGCCTCTATTAGATGCTATTAAACAGATCCCATCATATGCCAAATTTCTGAAGGAGCTATGTTCTAAAAAGAAAAAGTTCTTGGAATACGAGAAGGTGATTTTAACTGAGCAATGCAGTGCTGTCCTCTTACATAAGCTACCACCTAAGAAGAAAGATCCGGGGAGTTTCACTATCTCTTGTACTATTGGTAGTCTTGATTTTCATAAAGTATTGATTGATTTAGGAGCAAGTGTTAACCTTATGCCTTATTCTATTTTTCAAAAATTAGGTGAAGGAGAACTCAAGCCCACATCTGTGAGTCTTCAATTGGCAGATAGGTCCGTGACATATCCTTTGGGTATTCTGGAAGATGTGATTATTAAAGTGGATAAATTCTATCTCCCAGCTGATTTCATTGTACTTGACATGGAGGAAGACAAGGAAGTGCCTCTCATTTTAGGCCGACCATTCATGGCCACCGCCCGGACACTTATTGATGTGGAAGCAAGTACTTTAACCCTAAGAGTGCAAGGAGAATCAGTTGTATTCAAACTCTTTAAAGCTGTCAAGCGTCCTTTCGAACCTGAAGAGTGTTTTCGTGTTGATGTTTTGGATGGGATTGTGCATGCAAACTTTGCCTCACGATCATCTAATGATGAGTTGTTAACTTGCCTCACCAACCATGATGCTACTTTATCTATGGAAGAAAATGTGGTGGACATCATCGCTGCATTGGATAGTGCACCAATTCATAATCCAAAGTGGCGACATGTTTATGAAAGCCTTGGAGTGCCTAAGCAGCCTCTTTTTCCTTCAAGTGAGCAAGCTCCGAAGTTAGAGCTTAAGCTACTGCCGAGCCACCTCAAGTATGCTCATCTCGGGGTGAATGAGACCTTGCCTGTTATTATTGCTGCTGATCTTAATGACACAGAGGAAGACAAATTACTAAGAGTTATTCGCAAGTATCAAGATGCTCTGGGGTGGACACTTGCTGACATAAAAGGCATTAGTCCAGCTTTGTGCATGCATAGGATTTTTATGGAGGCTGGGACTAAACCAACTGTTGAAGCTCAAAGACGTATAAATCCGATCATGAATGAAGTTGTAAGAGTTGAGGTGATGAAGTTACTCGATGCAGGTATCATTTATCCAATCTCAGATAGCAAATGGGTGAGCCCGACTCAGGTGGTTCCAAAGAAAACTGGTATTACTGTGGTGAAGAATGATAACAACGAACTTGTGCCTACAAGGATGACCACCGGATGGCGAATGTGTGTTGACTATAGAAACCCCAATAACAGCACTAGAAATGATCATTTTCCGCTGCGATTCATTGATCAGATACTCGAGAGACTAGCTGGTCATTCTTTCTATTGTTTCTTAGATGGTTATTCAGGGTACAACCAAATTCCAATTGCCCCTGAGGATCAAGAGAAGACAACGTTTACATGCCCTTTTGGTACATTTGCATACAGACGAATGCCATTTGGATTGTGCAATGCCCCTGTCACTTTCCAACGATGCATGATGAATATTTTTTCTGGAATGGTTGAAAATATTGTTGAGGTTTTTATGGATGACTTTTCTGTTTTTGGTAATTCTTTTGATATATGTTTGGATAACTTGTCTTTGGTTTTGGAAAGATGCAGGGAGACTAATCTTGTGTTAAATTGGGAGAAATGCCATTTTATGGTTAAGCATGGCATTGTGCTAGGACATCTAATTTCAAGCAAAGGAATAGAGGTCGACAAGGCAAAGATTGAGGTGATCGTCAAATTACCACCACCAATTTCTGTGAAGAATGTGAGATCTTTCTTGGGACATGCTGGTTTTTATTTAAGATTCATCAAGAATTTTTCCAAAATTAGTCGTCCTCTTTGTAATTTACTTGCTAAAGATGCTTGTTTTGATTTTAATGCAGATTGTCATGATGCTTTCAACAAATTGAAGGATCTTCTCACATCAGCCCCAATTATAACAGCTCCAGATTGGACCCTTCCTTTTGAGCTCATGTGCGATGCTTCCGATTATGCTGTGGGTGCTGTCCTTGGTCAGCGACGTGACAAGCTCCCCCATGTTATATATTATGCCAGCCGCACTTTGAATAATTCTCAGCTGAATTATGCCACTACAGAAAAAGAATTACTTGCAGTGGTATTTGCTCTTGAAAAGTTTCGATCGTACTTAGTTGGTGCTAGAGTTATTGTGTATTCTGATCATTCTGCTCTCAAGTACTTATTGTCTAAAAAAGAGGCCAAACCACGATTGCTTCGATGGGTCATTCTCTTGCAAGAGTTTGATTTGGAGATCCTAGATAAAAAGGGACGTGAGAATGTTGTGGCGGATCATCTCTCGAGATTAGTAAATGCAAGCACTGATGAGGCAGATTCATTGCCCCTACAAGAGAGCTTTCCAGACGAGCAACTTCTAGCGGTTACTCATCAAGTACCATGGTATGTTGACATCGCAAATTATTTGGCATCTGGAGAAATACCATCAGAGTTCAGTTACCAACAAAGGAAGAAGTTCATCTCCACTATAAAACACTACTTTTGGGATGAGCCATACCTTTTCAAGCATTGCCAAGATTAAATCATTCGTCGGTGTGTCCCCTTAGAAGAACAAGAAAGCATCTTGAAGTTTGCTCACCACTATGCATGTGGTGGTCATTTTGGACCAAGAAGGACAGCGGCCAAGATCTTACAGAGTGGTTTCTTTTGGCCATCTTTATTCAAAGATGCATACCTATGCTGCCAGGCTTGTGATAAGTGTCAACAAGTTGGAAATCTTTCTCAGAGAAATGAGATGCCCCAACAAAGTATTTTGGTGATTGAACTATTTGATGTTTGGGGTATAGACTTCATGGGACCTTTCCCTTCTTCACATGGCAATCTTTACATCTTGGTGGCGGTTGATTATGTCTCTAAGTGGGTGGAGGCAATAGCTTCTCCAACATGCAAAAGTTCTGTGGTGTTAGGTTTCTTGCAGAATACTATTTTTCCCCAATTTGGAATACCTCGTGCTATCATCAGTGACGAAGGTACGCATTTCTTAAACCGCACCATGGCTTCCCTTTGTGCAAAGTATCATATTCACCATCGCATAGCCACCCCATACCATCCACAGACATCTGGACAAGTTGAAGTATCTAATCGTGAGCTCAAGAGGATTCTTGAGAAAACTGTCAGTTCATCTCGAAAGGATTGGAGTTTAAAGCTTACTGATGCTTTGTGGGCATATAGGACAGCTTATAAGACACCAATTGGGATGTCTCCTTTTCATTTGTTGTATGGGAAAGATTGCCATCTGCCTATGGAACTTGAGCACAAGGCATATTGGGCTATTAAGCACCTCAATTTTGACTACCAAGCAGCGGGAGAGAAGCGGAAGCTGCAGTTGAATGAACTGGAAGAAATAAGGAATGATGCTTATGAGAATGCAAAGATTTACAAGGATAAGACCAAGAAATTTCATAATGCTCACATCCTTCGTAAAGAGTTTCAACCGGGTCAGAAGGTTTTGCTTTTTAATTCAAGATTGAAACTATTCCCAGGAAAGCTCAAATCACGTTGGAATGGTCCATATCGTGTTGTACAGGTCCATCTTCATGGGGCTGTGGATATCCAAAACTTGCAAATTGGTTTTGTCTTCAAAGTTAATGGACATCGCTTGAAGTTATACAATGAGTCTCCATATGATCTTGTTAAGGATTCCATCACTTTGAAGGAACCTGTTATTTGAATCAAACTGCCAACAAAATGTCTAGCTCTAAACAGTAACTAAAGCGCTTCTTGGGAGGCAACCCAACTTTCTATCTTTCATCTTTGTTTTGAATAATTTTAAATGTTCTTGTTCTGTTTTTTCCCTTGATTTCTGGTTTTGTGTGTTTAAGTCCTACTTTTGCTCCCTTATGCAGGTAATGCTTTTGCAGTCTCTACCACAGCTTCTTGCAAAGTTTTCGTCCGGCTGCAAGACGTTAAAGAAAGCGCTTCTTGGGAGACAACCCATGTATTCAAAAAAGGAAGATCTATGAATCGCTCTACAATCAGTTTTGCGTTTCTAAAAACCTTCCCTTTTCTGCATTTCTATTTTGCCATGATTGTCATTTTTTATTTTTGTTGTTTATTTAATTATTTTTGGGTGTGGGTTTATTTTTGAAACACTGACAATTATGCAAGGTATTTTTACATTCATAAAAAAAGAAAGGAACATTAAGCAGATAAATACAAGAGGGAGCCTTCACAAAGGCTGCTTATGAGAAGTCTCAGTAGTCGGCGGAGCTTCAGCAGTCGGCGGAGCCCCAGAAGGATGAGGCATCAGAGGTTGATCATTTAGAGCTTCATTACGCGGTACAGCTCCAGAAGACGAAGGCAAATGCTGTTGGAACAAACCCACAAACCGCTAATGATCAAGTAAAATCTGACCATCAGATTCCTGCATCTGGTCAATCTTCCTCTTCATGTTTGTAGCATAATTATGAGCGAGCCTGTGCAATTGTTTATTTTCATGCTTAAGCCATCTAATCTCCTGCTTGAGACTCATCACTTCAGCCGCCAATGATTCAACTTGACGGGTTCGGGCAAATAGGCGTTGGGCCATATTGGACACGGAACCTGCACACTGCACACTGAGAGCCAGAGATTCCTTAACAGCCAACTCATCAGACCGTTTGGCAAGTAGTCTGTTATCTTTGGGAGTGACAAGGTTCCTGGCCACCACCGCAGCTGTCATATCATTCTTCATCACCGAATCCCCAACGGTAAGGGGACCAGTAGGGGATATGAAAGATGGGCGCCATATGTTGTCTGGAGAAGGGAGGACTGCCTCTTCACCAAGGTTCAAGTCAAAACGACGGTCGGAAGGGCTAGACATTTTTCAGAAGTGTTAAAGAAATAAGAGGTCGGACAAGTCAAGATCGTAGAAATGCAAAGAGGGAGTTTTACAGGCAGAAATTCAAGTGTGCTTTGAACGTCCTGTATACCTCTATAAAAATCAGCACGCGATGAGATTTCAGAGATCGAAGAGGCGAGCTCAGAAATTGAAGAGGCCAACTAAAAAAATCAAAGAGGCGCTAGCTTTCTCAAAAGCTGAGCTTGCTCAGAAACCACGGGCCATCCTTTGTTCCAGATTTGTCCGCACTCGTCACATGCAACCTCTGCACTCGACGGAGCTCAGATTTCGAAGAGGCAAGCTCAGAAATCGGAGAGGCATCTGTTTTTCCAGACGTGTCAGCATCTGTCACATGCACACTCAGCTTACGGAAATCACGGGCAATCTGTCGATGATTTCTGGTAAAGTAGAAAGCACGTGAAGTTTACTGTTCAATCATCCAACGGTTGCCGACAAGAGTGAAAGAACAATACCGGTTATTATTTCCTATAAATGTCGACCTTCACCCTCCATGGCAAGGAAGACATACATAACCTTCTTCGTCTCAAAGAATGCCTTTCCAACACACCCTCTCGAGTCACTCAGTGTTCCTAATTCCTTGGGGTACCTCTGCAAATAACCCATCCAAAGCAAAAGTATTTCATATCATGAAGGTTGAAAGCAAGAGTATCTCATATCATGCTTTCTCCCTGTCCTTCTCCTTGTCTTTGTTTTACGACAAGGAGAAAGAGAGCAATCAGCCAGCACTTGGTATCAATCTTCCGATCTAGAGACAACTGCCTGGAACCCCTTCCTGATTGCTTACCTAACCTTGCTCTCGAGTACTCATCTTCATCATCTTATGCTTCCTCTTCGTCTACCACATCTGCTTGGGGAACAGATAAGGGAAGTGAAAATGATACCTCGAAGCATGTGGAGATAATTTACCAATTCATCCTCAGCTAGGGACAAGGAGAAAGAAAGCAAGAGGTGGGCACTTGGAAAGATTAAAGAAAGAAACAGACCAACACAGCTACCTTGTGCCTGCCCGCGGTGCAGAAACAAGCAGAGAAGAATGCAGACTGCACAATCAAATCAACCCAGCAGAATGAGTCTGATTTAAAACCAAGGAATTCTCTACCACAACTTCTTGCAAAGTTTCTTAATCCCACGAGTTACTCACACATTTGTTATGCATAATGGGACGTATTGAAACAAGTTTGGGGATGATTTGGAATTCTACCATGGAACAAAAATGCATCTTTACTGATGCTCTCCTCGCCTACACAAATTGGTGTGTTCTTTCCTTTTCTTTATGTGTCTTTATTTCATTTTATATTTCTTTCCTTCCATTTTTATGTCTTATTGTTCAAAAAATTCCTTTCATTATCATTGGGGACAATGCTATAATTAAGTTTGGGGGTGGAAATATATTTCGTTAGTTTATTTTTCAAAAAATAAAAAAAAGTTTTTGCATTTTTATTGTTGTTTGTAGCTATTTCTCAATTCAATGATGATATTTGATCTTAATTTCCTTCTTACTTTCAAGAAGTCTAAGTTCTTTTCGTTGTCTTTGTGTTAACTGTGATTTCCAGAAATCAACTTGAAAAATAAATGTGCCTAGTCTTGTCAATGCGAAACTTGAGCATGATTTAGCGTTTCATATGTGAATCATGTGAGATTATGTAAACCTTGTGAGTTTTTGAGCCTATACATGATTGAACCATTATGCATCAATCTCATTCCTTCTTGTGCGTATGATCTCATTGTACATGTATCTCTAGAACTTGCTTTATACTACTCGATTCATTAATCAATTCATGTAATAACTTGGAAGTGATATAGGCCATCTTTGGATCTTTTGAGCCTTTCATGCCTACCTTATATGCTATGTTTATCCGTAGTAGCCCGTTGAGCCTTTAACTAAGCCATTTCTTTGTTAACCACATCTCTTTACCTTGCTCCAATATTGGAGTTGAACCCATACACAGAAATCGATTCCTTATTGTTTTGAGAAAGTATTACATGCGTTGTGCTCTTAGGGGTTTCATTTATGTAGAAAGATGGATTGAGCATGTGTATTACAATGAAATGTGAATTTGATGGGTGATGTAGCTTTTGCATATTTATGCATAGCTTTACAGATTTGTTTCTAAAAAAAAAAAAAAAAAATTGGAGAGTATTGATTTGTTGAAAATGTGTCGGTAGAGTATAAATTTCCTTTTGAAGTTAAATTTGGGGAGTAACAGGTGCTCGAGGTTTTATTATTTTGCTTTCAATTTGAAATGGTGTGATATTGAGGTGTTGGAAAACTACCAAAGTGTACTTTCTCAAAATTTTTGATTTCCATATCCTTTCTTTCATTAGCCTATCACCTTTAGCCCCATTACAACCGTAATAAAGTCCTATTGATCCAAGGTATTACTTAAATATTGATAAGCGAGTTAGGTGGACAAGCAAGCATATGGCGGCATGTACAATGAGATCACTTGAGTGAAACACATTAACCAAAACTTATGAGTGAATGAACGTATGTCTTGTGAGAAGCTCACATGTTTGCATATGATGATTTAAAGGAGTTTGGAATTGCATTGACATGGATAGCTCACAAATGGCATTTCAACGTTTTGTTTGAAGGAAATTTGGTTAATTATTGGATGATGTTTTGAGCTCTTGCTTAGTTCTTGGTTGTTTGTTTCATGATTAGCACTTATCTCTGAAATCGAAATTTAGAAGTTGGCTACTAAGTTGTTGAGTCTAGTTTTAGTTGAGTGGTTTTGTTTTGTGTTTTGTTTTACAAGAGGACTAGCAAAAATGCAAGTTTGGGGGTATTTGATCATTCATATATTTCATGCATTTATACCATCCATTTCTAAAGTCTTTGTGATGTTTTTGTGTTAAAATGGTGGCATTTTACCTTACCTTGTGTTAGTGTGCAATTAAATTTGCTTTAGGATTAATTTCAAGCAAAGTGGAGAAAAATAAAAAGAAAGAGACAGGACATTTTGTGTTTTGTATAATTGAACCTAATCCAGTCCGTTATTATGTGCAGATGGGTCCAGGATATACCGGTTTCAATTATCTTTATCCAAAATTGCAGACCACTACAATACCACTACAATAAAGTACATCTTAAGGTTTAAGGGGGGGGCACACAGACAGAAAGAAGACTGGCAGACAGAGAGGAGTGGAAGAAAATAAAAGAAAAATAAAATAAAATAAAGAAGGACAGAGGATGACAGAGAGAAAGGCACACGGGATGGAAACTGACAAAAAGAGAGCAGAAAAATAGAGGGAAGGAGAGCACGGACGGAAAAAATAAATAAAAGAAAGGAAGGCAATGCGCAGAAAGGAAGGCAGTGCGCAGATAGGGAAGCCAGTGCGCAGAGAGAGAAGCCATTGCGCAGAGAGAGAGGGCAGACTGAGCAGAAAATAAAAGAAAAAAAAACAGAAAGAAAGGGGGGAGAGAGGGATACGGCAGAACAGAAAAGAAAACAGAAAATAAAGGGGAGTGGAGAGACTGACGCGCAGCAGAGGGCAGAGAAGCAGAGGAGGGCGCAGCAGAGGGCAGAGAAGCAAAGGGCGCAGCGAAGGACGGGAGAAAGGAAAAGAAGTCAGGAGCAGAGGAGAAACCAAAAACGGGTGTTTTCTTTCTTTGTTATTTTGTTTTATGGATAATTTCTTATGTATGAACATAATTATGTGTAACTACTTTATTTTGCTAGAGTGAGGCCATGAGCCGCAACATGAATACGTAAATTTATTTTTCAATTGCTTAAGTGTTGTTACATGCTTGCTTTGATATTTTCAATCACTAAATTAAACTATCTATGTGTCTTGATGATTGATCACCATTAGGATGCTTAGAAAAG